CCCCCCCCCTCCCCCGTTTCAAGGTGTAGCTTACGGTGTGTGTCATCCCTCGGGTGCTGCCGTTGGTTGCCGACTGATGTGGTTGAACCGCCGCCTCCATTCCACCTGTACGGCCTTCTTCCGGATGCCAGGACTACTTGTTGTATTACAACTACTACAAGATGAACCTGAAGGATAGCACCATCGTCTTCCAGAGTGAGGGAAAAGGAGGGAGTAGCAACTACTTCGGCTAGGCTTGCCCTTCCGACCTTGCACCACCCACAAGAAGACCGCCAGATTGCGTGGTGTGAGCTGGCCGACCACGGAGAATGCTTGGCACCTTTGGTCGCAACGCGCGCCCCACCCTACGCTGGGGTCGGTGCCTGAATCCTGTCGGTAGCGTGAGTAACAGAGGGCACCGCTTTAGGGGGGTTTGAAATAGTAGGCCGGGTGTAAGCCCGGCATAAACTGAAGCCTCCTTGCTTTCTGTCAGCGATTTCGAAAGAGCAAGAGGGAAAGAAAGCATTTGTGGCAGCCTTGAAAGCGGTAGGGGCTTTTAGGAGGTAACCTCAACCCCCGAGGGTCTGTGTGGACGACGAAACAGCTGTGTTGAGTGGATGCGACAGGTCCTGTCATGTTGTGAGAAGGGGCGCGTGCTTCATCAGAGACGACGTAGATCAAACTTTTGATTTTCAGATCTGGGCTGTATTAGTTGTTCAGGGTTCCTCCCTGCTGCCGCTTGCGCTCTCGGGTAGTGTCCAGGGAGGGCTAGTCCCTCGTGGGCGGAACTCGTCACCGGTAGTCAGCCTACTCCTGTGTTACCTTTTGCTCTGTTTCAGGTGTTCTAACCGAGAAATGAATCTCCGGTTCAGCTTGTCTGCGTGGGTGAGTTCGAGTTGAAAGGAAAATCTCTATTAGTGGGGGCACTTGATGTCCAGGTTCCGCCTTTTGTAAGCGAGGTTGTAGCGTGGAAGAAAGGGTACGCTCGAGAACTAGTAGTGTGGATAGTTGGGCTCCTTCTTCTCGCACTGAGATGAAGTGGATAGCTGGCTGATTGTGTGAAATCTTGCAAGCTTTTGGAAGGAATCTTGGATTTGAGAATTTCCCACTATAGCGGGGTGTGTTTGGTCGACAAGAGTTGTAGCTTCCTTTGGAAATGTACCATACCATACATTTTACTCCCATATTCTCCTCCCATTCGGAGATGCATAGGGTCCATTCAGCGCGTCCATTCAAGCGAGGCGTGTACACAAGGGTTCGATCACCCCAGAGCGCATGCTAACAACTAGGGAGCACGGAGCTCTGTTAGCTCTTGACCCCGGCTCGAAGAACCATGTGCCAAAAACTGAAGCGATCAAAACGGCGCAACAAGACGGGTCGTCGCCACATTCCCTGGAAACTAATCTACGTCGTCCCAGTCCTCGTCGTCGCCTCGAGCCTCTCGGCACTCCGCCCCCTGTTCAGCTCCACCACCTGTGCTTGTCGCTCCGGGAGTATCTCTTGGCGCCTCTCCATTTGCAGCACGTTCTTTCCGGGAATCTTGAGGGGCTGCTATCCCAACAAGGCTTGGCTCTGCGTTTGCAAAACCGTTTGCGGTGGAATTGGTCACCCCCGCCTCCGTCGTGCCATCTTGTGACCGAGGAGCTTCCAACGCCTCTGCTATCTCGGCCTTGGCCTTTCGAAGGGCTTTGTCCAGCCGGACCAAAAACTCGTCAAGTTCCTCCGTGGACAATCCTACGGCGCACGCCGCCGTCAAGTAATCGTGCGGGTAGCCGGTCACGCTCGCCCCGTAGCCGGTGAAATCGATGCCGCCCACGCACTTGTGCTGTTCGCGCGGGACGACCCGGGTGCCAGACACGCATCGCGTGAAGAGCATCGACCCGAAGAAGGCTGCCGACGCAGGGGCGCCGGAGGCTGAGCCAGTAGCGCCGTTGCTTTCCAGCGCGCACGCGCCCGTGGACTGCTGTGTGGTGACAAGGGGGGTTGGCATTCGAACGCGTCGTTGCGGACAACAGGAGGGGGGAGGGACAGACCTGTGGTCATAAATGTAAAGGGCTATTATTGCAGTAGAAAAGAAAGACAGAATCGCGGGGGATGAAACGCACGCCGACAGGACGTTTTCTCTCGTCAGTCTTGGACAATTCACGAAGTAGTCGAATGCCATTGTCCCTGTTGTGCGCGAAAGGCAGACTTTGAAGGTGCCCCAAGTTGTTGGAAGCAGCTGGGTCCTAGGGTCAAGAAAGAGGTACGGCCACTTGATGCCTTGGCTCCACGATTGTGCAGCAATGGGATGTTGCTTGAATTGAGAGAAAGGTCTGGTTGAGGTTGGGATCCACCTTTCCACCAGGGGGTACGCAGATAGCTGAGTTAACATGGTGGTATGGTCCCTCAGAGGTACACCTCCCGGCCATCCCACATCCTTTGCTAGACCAAGGTGTACCCCATGTATGCCATACAGCAACACTCCCTAACAAGAGCATGCCACGGAGAGTTGGAACTGCTCTGTCGAGGAGTGAGAGGATGCTCCGGTGACGGGCGTACACGGTACTCTCAACTCAACAGCAGCGCAAACATCTGGTCCCCGCGATCTTTGCAACCGCACCTTACGAACCAGGCTGTCGAGAGTCACGGCGAAGGAGATGGTGTTTCCACTTGACTCGAGCAGTCGCTCTCCGTTGCTCTCCGCCACCTCTCGTAAGCGCCGTCTGCACCGAGCACCGAGTACCCAAGCGCACAGAGGTGTTACGTTACAACCCAAAGCAGGGGCAAGGTCAAGTCGCGCTGGGACCACCAGCCTGCCAGCACCATTTGGTTGGGCGACATGTTGCACTAATACGCAGCCACGATCACCGGTACCATCACTGATTGAGACAACACTCGATCTACCACATCTACATCTCAAGCTGTGCAACGACGGCGAGAACATCGATAACGATTGCGGAAGGGGCAGCCGTGTGTCAAGACCTCTCAAGCAACGGATGATTCTCCTCCCTTCTCCCGGCAGGTCGCCTCGCTCACCGAAAAGGATCTACCAAAGTCTCGCGCTGGGCCAACAGTCGCCTCCACCCCTGTTCTCCCATGCTGAGGAGCGTGATGAAGAGATCTAGGCAAGGCCCGGAGCTTGCACGCCCGGCGTAGCTCTTACCTACCTGTGCTTGCCATTCAAGAGGAAATAGACGAGCGGGCGGACGGTGGCTTTGGAGGCGACACATTTGATTTCAAGACTGTCAGCGCACAGAGAGGAAAACGGGGTGCAACCAATGTTGAGCGCTTTTGTGCAAAAAAACGTCATCCGTTCTGCTAAATCAGCAACATGGGCACGTTGATCTACGACGAGCGCAACAGCGTTAGGAGCACAGATGGCCGGAAGCGATAACAACACACGAGGGGTTTGCCGGCGACTTATTTCCTCGGGGGTGACCCTTGCCTGCTCGATAAAGGTGGTGTCCGGTCCGCACACCACCGCTCCGCCAACGGGCACCAAGAAGTTCTTGTCCGTGCTCTGGACCACGGCGTCGACCCTCCCTACCGCCATCGCCCTTGTGTTGCCCGGTGGGATCGTCAAGCAAACAACGCCCGAGAAAAAATATGCAGACGACCACAAAAAAAAAAGTCTGTGACTCACAGGGTCCGTAAGCGCAGTGTGCACGGAAACGCTTGGTAGACGTAGTTTCGGAAGGTAATATGCATCCTTTTGCGAGACACTGTAGGCGAAAAAGAAATCCGCGAAGCCATTCAAGTTGTTCGTGTTGGTGGAGAAATCTACCCCTCGACCCTGGTTCTTTCGAGCAACTCCGCATTGCCTGGCGTAGGATTTCATTCTCCGTTTGCTCACCTGTTGACGAGCCGGCACGTCTTGGAACATTGAACTCCGTAGGCGTTGTTGATGACGTGCCCTACCCCGCTCGCAGCGCATATGCGGGCAACCTCATCGACCTGTAGCAGTAGTGGCAGTCAGGCAGGAGGAAGCAAAGCGACCGTAGTGCTCATGAACACATGATGGTGCAAAGCGTCGTCCTGTTCGATTGCCTGTACGTATCCACTTCCACAGTTCCACAGTTGCGAGCGGGCGAGTGAAATAGTAGCTCCGACAACGAGATGAAACTATCAGTGTTCGCATCGCAATGTCCCGCCCGCTTTCGTCTCACGGCGCTGTGATGAGGCCTCGTTCGGAAGAGCGACAGTCCGAGATGTAGAAGACGTCAACACAAAACAGTCACCAACGTGCCGCCGATTTTCTTCGCTGCGTCTTCAAGCCTTCCATGGCTTAGGAATACCAGCTCGCCCTCTACGTTAGCGTGCTGCTTGCTCGTCTGCCCTTGCCGTCCTGCCGATGTGCTTTTCATCGCGTGTTGTCTAGATCAAGCAGTGTATGGGCCGTTCTGTATTGCTCGTGATTTTTTTGTTGGAGTTCTCGTCCCTTGAGAAGGTGCATTTGTCACTACTTCCAACTTCGAGCGGTTTTCTCGATTGTTCTTCTTGCACACTCTCCTTCTCCTTCGGTGTTTGCTGCGTCCGACACGTATTGTGTTGTGTCTGCAATGCTCTTCCTTTTTCCGTCCGTCCAGTCGTCCGTCTGTTGCACAAATGGCGCGTGCTATATTTTCCAATACCACCGTTCTGTACAATATACGAATTGCGCATGCTACAAGTATCGTACTCCGTTCGTCCGAACGATTTTTCTCAACACGTCTCATGTGTTTCTTCTCAAATCAGTCCGTCACATGCATGGGTCAGTTCCGTGTGCAAGCAATACATGTTAGGTCTGCCATCGTTGGTCCTTCTTCTCACCATACTGCAGTAGAGATTACCCGATGCTACCGGCCCAGGTTGGGGTGTTGTGTTGCCTCCAGGGCTACCATCCTACTTTTCTCTATATTTGGTCTTGACACTATACCCCCCGTGCTTCTCGGACACTCCTTGCGGCCACACAACGGCCCTCGGCAGTCGGCTACACAGACATAAAGCATGCCTACACAATGAGAGCAAGAATTTTTCGAAAATAGATTCCAACATGTGAGCAAAGGAACACACCGATTGCCGTAGGTTGTGAAATGCTCCGGAGAACATACTCTTGACTACTCGGATACGAAATTTGGGTTCTGGGTATGCATAACCGTATCACGACCTTATTAATGGTGCCAGGCACACCTTGTCGGGCAGGCGAGGCGCGAAGCAGCTGGTTGTCGTGACAACACACAAGACGTTTTCCGCGCCGCAGCTTTCCACCGCCGCCCTCACGCCGTCCACGTCTGTCGCAACCGCGTCGCCCTAGTCTTGACGACAAGCAGGTTCAATGGCCGTGCGTAAGGGAGGCAGTGAGAATTTTCCTTGAGAGTGTTAACTCACTTCATGCCCAAGAGCCGCAAAAATAAAAGAACCATCCGGATTATTCGGTCCCGCGAGCGAGGTTCCGTCCCACAAAACATCATCCCGCACCGGACACCGGACCCATTAAGAAACCAAAAACGGAACGCGCACCAACCAATCTTTCTGTGTGTTCTACAGAGTGTGCACCTGGATGAGGTTTTCCACAACAATCGGCGTGAACCCGGCGGCCACGATGGCTTTCAAACACGACTTCTGGTCCATCCTCGGCCAGACGATCGTCTTGGCGGCGGGCTTGGCAGCCCGCAAGGCCGCGAACGTTAGAGCCAAGGACATGCTGGATTGCAAGAGGACGGAGCATTGGGGAAGGATCAGACGGCTTGCTCCGCTGTTTAGTCCGCGCGCTCTTCACGATTAGCGACAAAAACAGCAAAACTTCAATTTTGCGGGAGAACAGGGAGAACAAGGCCTCGTGCTCATTGTAATGACTTTTTCCCTGGGAACATGAGGGGCTGGTAGGCAGTATGTCCCTCCCAGCGGATATTTGCTACACACATGCAACCGCAACCACGCCTGTGTAGGGCTTTCAATCTTCAATCTTCTCTACGTAGCATAGCAGCCAACCGCCTATCGATCAAGCGGCTGACCGTTGTGTCAAGCGGTTTCGTCCACGGCACCCCCTCACCCGGTGGCCATGGGCAGAACAAGGCAGGCGCGAGCATTCCGAAGCCCCGCTAGCCTTAAAGCATCCTTCGCCAGTGCATGTGTGAGTTTGGCCAGCAACGATGACCCAGCGGCTTTCGGCTGGACCTCGGCAATGTCTCCCGATCTACCCACACCGTGTGACAGGCGGAAATTTCGTCTTGCTACCAAGCCAGAATACACCTGAACATGCGTACAAAGGCGGCAGGGAGGGGTGACGCTGAATCAAGGATAAACCCAGAGGTACTCAGCAACAGCGATGCGTTGCAGCAACACAGAGTAGCGACATGTTTGGTAGTGCGACGGATAACGGTGTTGTAAAAAACGGCTGACGGAACCAACTTCTGGGAACAACAACCAATCGGTCGTAAACTGGCGTGCTGTTCCATACCAGCACACGGGCGTGTTGGTGCCCAGGTGCCACGACTTCTGTTTGAGGATAATTTGTATGACATCTCCATGGAGCCAGCTAGCTTTTGTTCGTCGATCTCACAGGGCAAGGCTCCTCCAGTCCGGGTCTTTGTGCGGAGCTCAACACGCGGGAGCATGAAGCACTTTCAGAAACTGCTTGTACACAGCAGTGGTACCGCCAGCGTTTGAAAATTGAAAATAAAACTCACTCTTCCCTCTCGTTCCCCGACGCCCACGTTCTCTGAGAAGTTATTGCTGTCCATGAGAGAGATCTCGGTCAGGAGGTACTCGATCTGGGCGTCATCCCACCCTCGAGTCGGCAGACGACGGTTGGAGAGCAGCGCCGTTACCTGCGTACGAGAACAAATGAAGGCGCCCCCTTCGAATCAAATCAAACCGTAGCTCGACAAAGAGCGCAGCTTAGTAAGGTTTTTCACGGTCCTCGTCAAACTCGAACTCTTGGAAAGGACAGCCGCTGCCGAAATGGATCGAGCGGTTGTTGGATTACTTGCTGTCGCGCATCGCGGTCAATACGTTCTAAACAGGTGCCAATAACCCGACCTAAAGCAGAGAGAAACCGATCGTTTCAAAATTGACGACTCTGACTAGGTGGCGCGCACTGCTACACGCCCCGGGCCAATGGGAAAAACCGTAGTTGCTGGGAAAATTGGCTCTACACTCCCTTGCAGCACAAAAAATCTATCAAGGCGGTCATATCGTCCATATCGTAACGCTGATACTACAGAGCCCAGAAACACTTACTTACGCTCAAGGACACCCCACGCCCTGCAACACCGTACACGGAACTGGCGGACTTCAACTTCTCTTGTGTATCTGACCTGTTTTCTTCTGCCATTGAGAGCTTGCTCTCCTTGATTGATGTAGGATGTCTTCACCAGATTCCTAGCCTGCTCCAAGCTCCTTCCATTCATTGTCAATGCCTGGCGGGCTGGTAGCGAGAGACTGACCAACTGGCTGGGGCAACGAGCTGCGGGAAGGGACAGACAGGACAGCCGAAGCAACCATAGAGGGGGGGGGAATGCTATATGTGCACCCGCGGGAGGAGGAAATTTGCATCCTGCGGAGCCTCCAAGAAGAAACGTGCGAGGTAACACCATTTGCTGCCGCGAGAGGAACAGAGAGAGACTTGGCACCTCGTCATCTAAGGTGATGTTCCACAAACCTGTCTTGAGAGATAGTCGCACTGGAGTAACTCTGCGTGTTTTGAGGTGCAGGAACTTAAGTTCGAGAGAGAACGCGAAACACATTTCCATCTTCGACGTCAAAATGTCTCTTTAATCCAGCACAAACAGCTGCGACTTTGCCTGTTCTGAGCGAGGACCTTGGTACCAAGATTCGACACGTGCGTGTTTGGTATGTAAGGGGCTGGGTTAGGGGTCGAAAGAAGGCCCTTGGCCGTTGCTCTGTTGAGCCTTAATATCTGCGCGAACATCCAATCCCGTTTAAACAGAATCCGCGGACACACCCACAGCGGCAGCACAACAATCGCTCCGCCCGCCATGTCGCTCAGTCCCACCTCTCTCCCCCTCTCCCCTTCGCCCGACAACAAGTTCCATCCCTGACGGAAGCTTGCTTTTTTCTGTCTAGAGGGTTCTTAGGTTATTCTGCAACACTGCTGTGTCCTATGCGTCACGTGTGTGTCTTATTGTTTTGGTATCATTCAACGATCTACGTGTGTACCGATGACTTTTTAGTCAACGAAGACAACTGAATAAATCCGAGTCTCCTCCTTGTCTCTCTTCCTCTCACGCACGCGATGGCCGTCTTTGTAGAAAGAGCGCGGTCCTCGCGGGCACTGCTGGGCACGGAATCGTTCATGTCTCTCAACTTTGGGGATCAGACCTTCGGGCTGCGTGGTGAGTGACTTCTGTTTTCAAGCCTCTTGGTGGTGGCTGCATGGGCGCCAGCCGGCAAAATATGAATGGCACACGGATTCAAATATTGGAGCCATTATAGAACTTTTACCCCACAGGAAAACTGCTACCCTCTGTGTTGGCTTCGCCTCCTCCCGTACGCTTTCCCACGAAGATGTTTGCTCTTCCCTCACAAGCAGCATCCGATTGCCGTCTAGGAAAAAGTTGCAAACCGTACGGTGGGAGATGTTTCCAAGAGACAGCTGACGGGGTGTTGTTGTTGATGTTTCGATTTGTCGGAAACGATCCTGACAACCACAGCCGTCAGCCCATCTTGCACGTAAAAAACAAGAGCAGATAACGAATTCGTAGCTTGGTCTCCTTGAGTGTGGTACGGCGAGAAATACTTCGAAAATCGTTCGCTGTCGATCTAACTCCTAGTGCAGCAACTTGACGGAAGGCAGGGCGTACCGAAAACAACTTGGAAGTTTGAGTCGGAAACACTCCGCGCTGCTTGCACATCCCCGCCACCCAATGTCATCGTCGCGTGCACACAAGTGTACCCTAACAAAAATGCAGCATTGATCCGCGAATTCGGGTCAACTTATCGCCAAGTCAGCGCATACCCCCTCCACAGCGATGCACTGGTCAACCCTCGTCTCTTGATCGTTTGCTCTCTCCTTCCGCTTCCGCCTCCCTCTACATCTGTCACCTGTCACAGAGATGGATGACATGATCACGCAGCACCACGTTGGGAACGGGCACCAGGGCCTGGACGGACCCGTCGCAGATGGAGGCGTAGTAGCCGCAGGGGAACCGTTGGGTGATGAGAAGGCCTTGCTCAATGGGGTAGCGAGGACGGCGGCTGCGGAGCAACAGAAACACGAGCTGCTGCCTCCTGCGCCCCAGGCACCGTCCTCCTGGGCCTCCAAAGTTCGGGCGGGGATAGGCTCGGAGAGCAGTCCGACCCTCTCGGGGAACGGGGGCGGTAGTGGCGGAGTCGGCGGCGGCGGCGGCGGTGGCGGCGGCGACGGCATGGGGCCATCGGGGGGCGGCGGCGATGCCTTGGGAGCGATCGTGCCGGGAGATTTGGATCCCGGGGTCGGGGAAGGGATCCGAGGGCTGCCGCACGGCATCGGACACCTGGGACCGCTTGCGTCGAGCTTGGGCGGCGGGGCGATGGGCCCCGTGCACGGCTTAGACATGGAGGGAGGCATGCCGGGAAGAGCTTTGATGACGCCCTCTGCCCCTGCGCGAGGTTCGGGGGTGGTGCAGGGCTTGGTAGGGGCAAGCTTGGGCAACGGGGGCCAAGCCATCGGGCTAGAAGGCGGGGGCGGGGCGAACGGGAGCGGTGCCTTGACGGAGGACTTCGCAGGGCTAGAGATCGGGGGCGGAGGGTCGGCGTTGGGAGCGCGGGGCACGGGCACGGGGGAGGCACAGAAGGGGTTCGATGCTTCCAAGGACGAGCTTCTCGGGGACTTCCCGTGCGTTCGGCTGCGGGGGCTTGCAGCCGATACGTCCGTGAAAGACATCCTCGACTTTTTCGTCGGTCTTGGGCCCGTTTTGGACATCGTGCTCGAGGTGACCACAAGTGGATCGATCGCGACGTCGAGGGGTGCACATTTACAAAACTACATATGACTGGATTTTTTGTCAGGGATCTGGTTTGTGGGTTTTGGGGCCCATGGTCATGTGCGTAAGGCACCCTTTGCCGGTTGACTGCTCTATTGTATGGGGCAGGGGGTTGACGTGGAGGCTCGACATGTCCTCAGTCGGTGTGTCTATCGGATATTTTTATGGTCGGCCATGCCGGTGGTGTACCCGTGTTCCAAGTTCAGGGATGCACGCGTTTGACTACTGGTGGTGCTGCTGCTACTGATGTAGGCAACTCACTTCTATTTTTTGTCATGTCACGGTGCAGCAGCAGTGTTCTCATGTAGTGACGAACTGCTCTTTCAAACGGACCCTTTCCACTCGTTGGAGGGTACCTTAGATGTTTGAAAGCATTAATGAACTAGGGGGCTCAGCCGCGGCTAGAGGAGATGTCCGCGAGGAAATCGGGGACCCCAGGCTTACCTTAGCGAGTTGACCGTATGCCGTTTTAACCGACGCACTAAGCTATGTATTCGGCAACAAGAGCTCAAAAACGCTTCTCGAGGTAGGTGCCTACGCGACTGCCGTGCAACTTGTGTAAATTCGCTAGGGCCGTATCGTCAGCGATAGGTCGTGCGCATCACGTTGTCTCTCTGCTTGTTCTTAACGTTTCGCACTTTGAATCGGCTGTCTCCAGGGTGGGGCAGCGGGCGAAGAAGTCGGGGCAATCACCCTCTTCGGGACTCTGATGGACTACCACGGGGCTCTGCAGCGGTACTCTCTGCAGATCAAGGGTCGCTACATCGAGGTGCGGAGCATGGCATTGAGGAAACCCAACTTACTCTTTCGTGAGCAATGTTGGATGTTGTTCCGAAGCGGGTTGTCGGGGTATGTAAGCGCATTGGCCTCGATGCCGAAAGCTGTTGTATTACACCCGATGGGCTGATCCCCTCTGCCGTTTTTTCACGTGATAACAAGGTTGTCATGTCTTTTCACCTTAAATACCTGCGAACTGAACAAACAAACTGCCGTCACGACCCGTCTCATGCTTTCATTCACAGCGGTTTTCACTTGCTGCCCGCCTGGGCTGCGGCATCACAGTCCGTCCACGCCTCCTCTCTCCAACCGGTCGAGGACCATGTAAAGACAGTCTTCCGGGGGCTGTCGGTACACTTCTTGCAATCACACAATGTTTGCGGACGCACACCCCACATTGACCATCCCACGGACCTCCCGCCCCTCCTAACCGTAGACCCCTCGCCCTCACCCCCCCCCTCCAAAATCCACCCGCCCGTTACTTTTTCGAAGGTGGCGCCTGCGATACGGGCGGATTACTACTCGGCTGTTATCAAGAGGTCGGCGGAGGGCGCCGCCGAGGTTTCGCCGACGACACCCGCGGGGGTAGGGGGGGGAGGAGAGCAGGACGGAGACCCTGCCGTGCAAGGCCAGAATGGGACTGCCGTGCACCAGTCGGACATAGCCTTGGCGATGGGGAGCGCCAAGGCTCCGGGGCCAGCCACCGCTGCAGTGCGAGCCCCGCAGCAGGGGGCGCATTTGCCCGAGGCCGCTGGCGGCGCCGCGGCGGGTGGTGCGAAGGGCTTCACGGGGCAGCCGGCGGCGGGAGTGCCGCCGGCTGGAACGTTAGCTTCGGGGGCTCAAAGTCCAGCGAAAGCGGGGGCGCAATCGGGGGGGGTCGCGGGGGCAGGCACGGGAACGGCGGCGGGGGGGAGTGGGGGCTCGGGGACGCGGAAAGGGGGGGTTAAGGTAGGTCATATCGTGATCACACCGCACCGTAGGAATATATACATTTGCCGACAGCTCGACGACCTCGTATCCAGACCACAGCTCTTGTGTGTGTTTTGTGTTCTCGCACAGCCTCTCCTGCTGTGGAGGCGAAGTACGCGACTCAAAGGGAACTAGCAGGCGTTTCCAAGATAGGGATCGGTCGATACGATACACAAGCTGTTTCACTGGAGTTAAACACGCACGCATCGGACCTTGTGTCTGCTAGAACAAGACTTGAGTAATCATGAATTTAGTAGAGGTCGAAGCTTGGCAGTTGCCACATGCTGATATTTTTGTAGTTCTGCCACGTTTTGAAGGAACACGCGGTGAATTGGGTCCATGGTGACGAAGACTGTTCTCCTTTGACGGCCGTGCTCTAAAGCAGAGTTGTTGTACTCTTGTTGTGGTAGCTCAAGAGTGTGCATTGGACTAATGCTGGAATATGAAATATGCCATGCGTCGTACCACGGTAAGAGTCTTGGCCAAGAGCAAGCGGTCAGCACAAGACGCACGTCCACTTGACAAGTCTCCTGTTGGATTTCTTCCCTCTGTTCCTCTAGGCGGCGACGCACGGGCCCCCCGCGGCCCCCGCCAAAACGAAGGGATCGGCGGGAGACGCGAAGGGGACGGTGATTCGCATGAGGGGGCTACCATACCGCGCGAGCAAGTCGGAGGTGATGTGCTTCTTCAAGGGGTGTTCCATCCCGGAGGAAGGCGTCGCCTTCGTGACCCGGGCGGACGGGCGGGTGACGGGAGAGGCGTATGTGCGGTTTGCTACGCGCGAGGACGCCAAGATGGGGCTCCGCAAGGACCGCGAGATGATAGGGTCGCGCTACATCGAGCTGTTTACGTCTTCGCCCGAGGAGATGGCCCGGTACGCGAACAGCAAGCGGTAGGGTTGACGTGAGCCGGTGGCGAGCGATTCGCCGATGCATTCGGACCGGATCGGGTCGGAGATGGACGAAGTGGGTGGCGAACGTGTACATGAGAGGAAGCTCAAAGAGAATGGCCCGTCCTCGCGTGAGAGGCTGGCGGGAAAGCAATCAGGACAAAACAAGTGTGTGCTGAGTGGAAAAACACGTGGGGGGGGGGGGGGGGGGGGGG